TCTTCAATGCAAATGTTATGCAGAACGGCTGTAGCAACAATAATTATCTTTGACAACTCGGCGCTTACTCGCATTCCTAAGGACAATATGGGAAATCTTCTTTTCCACACACCGTAAGATCTTTCAACGCAGTTTCTGGTTCTTATGTGTTATTCATTATATAGTTTTTCAGCAGCTGTGAAAGAATCTGACAGTGGTGTAAGTAAATAGTTAGTGTTTCCATAGCCACTGTCACCCAAAATGACACAATTTGGGAATTCACCATTGGAAAACCTGCGCTTGATTCTGCTGTTATTGAAAATAGTTTGGTCATGGCATGAACCCGGCCACCTTGCCACTATGTCAATTATTTTCAATTGCACATCGCAAATTGTCTGAACATTCGATGAAAAGTCTCCTTTCCTATTACGGAACCGCTCAGCGTCTTCAACTCCAGGAGACTGGATTTTGACATGCGTGCAGTCAATCGCTGCAATGACCAGTGCAAATCTGGCAACTCTATAAAAATTTTCTTTAACTTTTTGTCTGGTGGCATTATTTTCGGGAAATCTTATATTCCTCGGACGCAACCGAGCAATGGCCTCTGAAACTTGTCTCACAATTGAACGGGCAGATGTTCTGCTTACTCCTACAAAATCTCCAACTGATATGAGGATATTTCCAGTGGCATAAATTCTTAAAGTGAGCAATAATTTAGTTGCTGGTGAAATAGCTCGATTCCGTTCTGTCTGAGATTTGAGATCATTCACAATCAAATGCAACAGGGTCTCACAGGTTTGCTTATGCGTTCGAAACCGAGTAAAAATGTCCTCCAGATTGGTGTATTCTATAAAGTAATTGAGTCTGAAAAATATAATTTTTATCAATATTAACCAATAGATATAGTCCTAGTATTCACTTACCGATTTTAAAAAACTTTAGGTCTCCGAGGTGTTACTGTCAAATGTTATCAAACATATCGTCTTCTTCATCAGAATCAAATACAGACATATTTCTTTCCGCCATCGTAGTAAATCAAAATTTCTTAAAATCGCGGGACAAAGTTGTTTACATATGGAGAAATTGTACGTTATGAAACCAGGCCACGAAATAAGACGCTGTCACTCATTGACCAATAGAACGAAGGAACAACTTTATCTGCAGTATATCCGGCTCATTTCACTGGTATGAGTTATATCGCCATTTATACCGAGTAGAACGTTATTCGACTATTGTAGAACGCAATTTTACAAAGATATACCAAGAAGAGGTTGTTCCTGGTATATACCGCAATTGTAGATTTAGCCCTAAAACGAGTATCCGAAGCAATAGTCGCCGGGTAACTGTATCGTCGCGTAAAAGGGCTCTAAACCTTACTAAATACTATAGTCTATAGTATTTGGCCTTACTGACGAATTCAATCAACAACTCCTACAATATTGTAGGATAGGATAGGATATACCTAATAGATAGGTCCGGAAAGAAGCGCATGGTGCTACCACGCGCGCCATATTTGTTTACAACCGCCAGCGCCACCATCGGTTATTTACATAATGACTAGCGTACGAATTCAGACGTAACGTTTGACGTCACAGCCAGTCAAACCGCGTTCTAGCTTGACGTCATTCTTAAAGCGAAGATGGTAATTTTCGATCCCTTTTCTTGGCACTACTTTTTTCGAAATTTGCTATAGGCATTATTCTAAACGACCCGCACGCTAATATTTGGGTTAGATATTGGACGCTCAATAAGGACACGCAGTAATAAAGTTTGTGGTATTTTGTTGTGTGTGATTCTATTAGTTGGAGATCTGTCAACTCGTACGACGGAGGAAAAATTAGTTTTCGAAATTTCTTCTTATACTAGGCCTTGAGCCTGTTCTTTCACGGATCTTTTTTTTTCTACTGCTGCAGTCGTATTAGACTGCCAGCTATCTCGCCATCTTTTAAAGGACCGTCCTGTGTACCTGTTCTTGACGCGTAGGGAGTAGGACAGCCGAGAGAAGGGGGCGGTGTTTTATGACAGTCGGCCGAAACAGTATTCTTGAAAAAAAGTTGAGAGAGGAAGTCGCTCCCCAGGAAGCGGGAATGATCGGCTGGTGCGACCCAGTAGAAAAGGCATGTCCCTGGGTTTTCCAACCTCAAATCGTATTTATTTATTTATGTTTTGTTTGTGAGTAAGGGGTGTATCGATATGTTTAGCGAGTTGTGATTAATTCAATAACATTATTGTTAGATTCACTTATATAACCTGTAGGTAAATATCGGTTGGCAACAGTGCCACGAAGATAGAAACCTGTCACAACTGTCATGTCATGGGGGTAATATAAGGGGTAGCCGTGGATGTAAAACAGAAGAAAATAGAAGGAAATACAGTCCACACGCCGAAGTAATATCTTCATTTATTTAAAGCATCCTCACAACAAAACACGTGCGAGTTAAAGGAAATAATCTAGTTTGAGCCAGCCTTTACATATCCATTAAACAATTATATTAAATGACATGATAACTGAGGATGTGGATGATGCCATGGAATAGTTTGGGGTTCCAAGACATCCCTGGGACAAGATATCCTTTGATCTAACAGACCATAAATTTGTAAAGCTGTTCAGAAATCCCAAAAATCTTTTCTAGAGAGTTGGTGGCGATGGTATTTTATTATTCATTACATACAGGGTGATTCGCGTTTAGCGTCATTCATCTGGAGGTGTTTTAGGAGTACAGAAAAGAGTAAAAAAAATTAATTATTAACAACTGAAAAATTTGCAAAAAACTATATTAGAAAAACGGCAACAATGTTTTCAAGGTAATCTGCCTAATTAACATTACGTAAATACCTGTTGCTTCGCAATTATTTAAAACTCCTTCCAAGTGAGCCCCTACTACCCCTTAAAAGGAATGACGCCAATTTTCAATCACCCTGTATACATTCATTAGGGATCCTACACGAGAATCAGCCTTGTCATTTCGGACCTGCTATGGACAAATTATAGCAGTGATTCCTTTTGCTTGGGAGATAGCGGCCTTGATTTTTCACAATTTGCAATGCATTTCGTGCAGCTATTCAATTTTTCCTGAGTTACATTTACTTCAGTCTCTTTAAGGAATATAGATAGACTCATTTTACGATTCATTATAAAGTGCTCAGTGAAAATGGGCTACATATTTGATACCATCAATTCCACTTACTTTCAATTTTGAAAATAAATATACTTAAGCAGTTAATACTGAATAAATTTTACTCGTGCATTAACTTACTTAGGAAGGGCACAGAAACAATGAAGCACGCTTTAAAAAATACAAACTTTAATTTTCAATATAAACGGTTTGGAAATAAATATGTACCAGCGGAGAACGAGGTAAGAAACGACCGATTCTTAGCTTAGATAAAGACATGTTTGATGACATGATTCTTAGGTGTCTGTCTCTTTTATACCCAAAGGTTGGTACGAGTTCCGCCACAATAGTAAATAAATGAGGTTGGCGAGCCTGTCCGACCGCCAAAATTTTCTCAATTTTGATTGGCCACACAAACTGGCAACAGTGCTTGCAGGGACCGCATGTTCACTGGCGTTCCCTATCATTCAAGAATACTACTTTTTCCACTGGGGATGGTGAGCAAAGAGCGACTCCGTGGGATGCTGCCGGGGATACTCTCTTCTCTCAAAGTCAGGAATAGGCACACTGGTGGTCTGGTTGGTTTTAAATCCCTTGATATTCGGGCTAGTCTCTCCTTGTCCGTCCATTCGTGTAATATGCTGGTTCCACTCTCGTCTTGTTGGGGTGAATTGAGTAGCTTGATAGAAGCGTAGCCGATCCCAAGCCCGGATAAAAGAGAAGAGTTCGAAGGTGAGGCTAGCGACTGCCCCAGTTGATTTAAACTTAACAATGTTCTGGCCCGTTACTAATGCAAAACTAAACCAACCCAAATCAAATAAAACTAATAAATACATAAATAGCTACAAAATAACCCCAAGGGAAACAGATATATAGATGTAGCTACATCACCGCTTTAATGACGTTTGTTTCGTGTATTTCCTTCCTTATTCTTGCCAAAAACGGCATTTTTACAAAAGAAAAGTGCAAGGACTGGGATGAACTGTATAATGTGAGTACTCTGTTATTATAGTGAGCTAAAAGTGGCAGAAAAATGCATGATCTTTACAATTACCCTACTTTTTTTTCCGAATAAAAAAATACTTGTTAAATGATGTAACTTTTTAGCCCCGCCCTTGGAGCAGACGCACTTTTTCAGCACCTTCTGGGCCAGAATTTAAGATAAGTTAATTTTAAAGTAAGTACCCCCTTCTGCCTCAACTGTCCCGATATGGTAGACACTAAAATAATTGTTAGTATAGAATGCGATTATACGTGTTGGCAATCAAAATACTGCCAAAATATGCTATTGCCATTGCTTTTTAGACATTTTCAGAATGTCCCTTCTCTTCTGAACATTAAATGATTCCGCTAAGCAAGCGATTCTGGACAAATGGGCGGAGGACTATACTTCGAAGGTAAATCTAACCCTTAAATAAAACTTCTCTTTCCTTATGTCTATAATAAAAGCTATTGCTCCCGACACTACTTAATATTAATTATACATAATATGTGCTGCTCCCCAATTTACATTCTCTGAATACCAGCGAGATGTTAAATACGCAATAAGTTGTAAAATTGGTCTTTGGCGCATCAGGATAATAAGCCAGGTGGACGTGAAAAGTGGAATCTTTTGGAAATGCAAAGGTTAAGTTAGTTTCAACTGGAAAACTTGAGCATGAATGAGAAACATCAATTTAATTGTAGATTAACGAAAAGACAATTTTGAATTCAATATCATAACGTTGGATCGAATCTCAACAAAAAGCGACAGACATTGCGCGGGGCTGCGGTCGCGGCATAAATTTACTCGAGGTCGCGCTTGCGCTTGCATTCCCATATATCGTGACGGGCCGTGAAAGGAGAACAAACAGGAACACAGCCGCAATACATCTCATCTAAGCTTTGTATTTTCTCTAGAAACCAATCGATTTACTTTTTAACCAAACAATGGGCGTAAAACTGATGGTTTTGTTGCTACTACCTGTCTGTTGATATTGTTTTTGGGGCTTGTAAGCCATCCCGCCTTGCATGAATTAAGCCATTAACTGGAAAAAATTATTCTTTGTAAGCTCTAATAAACGTTCCTTCTAACTTTTGACCTATCCAGATTAGTAGAAAGATAATGTTGCCCATCCGATTCTAAAAATAACCTAAAGCACACCAAGGTGCGTATGGTAGTTCGCGTTTAGCAACATTTGTGAGTTTACAATTTCTGTCAAAATATTGAGATGGGGTAGGAGAGCGCCATAATAATAAGTGTATTACCTAATCAAAATACGAGATAAGAAAAATATGTGTTGCAAATAACATAGTTCCTTTGGAAAAGTTGATTAGGAATTGAAATCTGTACAAAACGTTTTGACGCTCATGACACAAATATGGATGTCTTTGGAGTGTGGAAACACAACTTTTGGTTGAAAAATACCGGGAATCGCTGGATACTTTGACGTTTATTGCCGTTTATTTGTCAAAAACTCGATAAATAGCACCTCAATCGCCGGAATACTATCAACAAAAACCAAGTAAAGCCTATATACGCAAAAGCGTAAACTATAACTAGGCAGAGGTAGCAAATATTAGACTAGGGTTTGTACTAATTGGCGGGGCACATAAACAATACTTAGAGAAACAACGCTACACTTGTGTATGAGAGATCAGAAAGATGCATCACTTACCTTAAAATAAGTTTAATCTCAAACTTTATACAAACCGATGTAAACACTAGCATTTTAAGCGAAAACCGAAAGGGCATTTAAGATGATAATGTTCCAATCAGTTCTCACACTTTGCACAACCTATCTCAAACCAATTTCGTAAAAACAACTATAGAATTAGCCTATTTTTACCACAAAATTGATAGCACTTTTGAAAACAGACATCTAAACTAAATATGGCAGCCATATTCTGTACAAAACAAAGGAAGTGTAGCTACGAACCACACATTTCAGTCTCGAACACTCGACTGGTTTCCGTTTTGAAGCTTCGCAGAAATAGTGGAGAGGTCGCTTCAGTATCATTTACTAGTTGAAAGGGTGCAGAAGAAAGACTTTTTAAGTTACTTTTGAGGTACTTTTGAGTTACTAATGGACATACTCTGCTTTCTCAGCTACATACAAATCAAAATTGATGAAACCTTGAGACTTTGAGGTAGATTTTGTTAAATAAACGTAGCAGTGCCTCTCACTTGCACGCACCTAAGGAGGGAGGCGCTAATATGGAAGCTGCCGGTACTGTAATTTCTAAGTTACCAAACATGCATTATTTATACAAAAATAACATTTATTGAGACTTTCAGGTATCAGAATTGATTCAGATAATAATTTACTATTTTATTGTAAATAGCAATCAGCTCAATAAAAAATCAAATTAATAAATGCTATCTGAATTAAGATAATATCCCTAAAGAACTAGACGTGAAAAGCAGTAATTATAACATTTTCAAATGAGTTATTAACAAAATGAAGCTCAAAAATGAAAATATGCATTTGGCAACAGCAAAACATCAAAACTGACATCTCTAAAGCACAGATTACAGAGTGAACCTCTGTGATCTGTGCTCTAAAGTTGGTAGGGAAAAGTTACATAAACAACATAGCCCATTATTTACATTTTTGCCAAGTCCAAAATCAGTAGATACCACTTTTGCGTCTTCAGTTAATCGTCTGGATGGCTGGGGTTATCAAGAAGACTACCGGCCTGACTGGTCTAGCAGTGTCCCCTCACCCCCACAGAGTTTTAGGGGTATTATATGGAAAAATCCTCAGAACACTGAAAATGATGCCCGAAACTGCAGCCTACCGTAAACACACCGAAGCGGTAATAAAGGAACGGTCCCAAATTCTAGAATCAAACCCCGCAGTGGAGGAAGCCGAGAGGAAGATCAATTGTGGCCAAATTGAAGAAGTCATTATACAGGCTCAAAACGAATTAGTGTTGGCTCGCAAAATGCTGACATGGAAGCCCTGGGAGCCCCTGACAAAAGCGGCCCCACCTAATCAATGGAACTGGCCCCCCGCTCATCCAGCTGAACAGCGTTGATTGGTATACTTGATAAAACCGTGTTAGAACTTTAATAAATTGTTTAAACTATCGGACGTTTAGTAATCAATTCCTGAATAAATATGATTAACAATTCACATCAATAATTAACAATTTATTAAAATAGCAAACAGAAGTTCGAGTGTTTTACCCGGTTTTCAGTAGATAAAGCAACATCGACTTACACCTAACTATCTTTTAACAAACGTTAAACGTTCTGTGTTCGACAGTCCTTATAAACCTATAATTATAGCAGAGATCGATTTCCTTTGAAATTCATCGAGTACTTGAAAGGGTTTTTGCATCCCAGCTTGCACCCCAAAAACTGCTCAATCTGTCTTCGGCATTGTTGCAAAATGCCTTAAAGTCCTTCAAGCACTTAATTTGAAAGTTATTGTCTACCCCCTGGTTGGTGCGCCACTTTTTGCTAATCATGTGATTCCAGCACCACAAAAAGCCCATCTAGAAATTCAACCTCCTAACTGAAGTCCCATCTCGCTAAAATACTACACTTACCTTTCGGGAATTGTCGTAGTCGGCTTTATTTTTCCCAGACACATGCCTTGTAATGTAAGCTTCATGAGGACTGGGCACCACATCGGCATGCAACGAGTATTTAGTGCTTGCGATATTCGGCCGGTTTTCCTTCATGCTATTAGCTCTGCTCCTGTCCGACTTTGGTGCCGTATTGGAAATTAAAATAAATATTGTGCCAGTTGCGTGAATATACTGGTGCTCTCTAGCAGAGTTTTGGTTGTTAGGGCTTTCTACTAGACACTTTATAAAGCCAAATCGCTGTATTATCGCTTCTTGGAACAGGAACATGCGAGCCCGCCAAGTCTCCTCAGGAAAATCTTAGAAAAAATGTCGTTAATAAACTCACTTCATTCCTGTTGGCTTGCTAATCTACCTTTGAAAAGATGCTCGTATTTTTCCAAACAAGTGACGTTAAGAGGCACAAAAATCGGGCCTCTCAAGGGATCAGACTTGTTAGAATAGGGCAAAGCAAGCGGATCATGTGGAATCGGTATCAATTGAAACCCACACGTTTGCCCCTTTCTATGCCAGCCAAAAAGCTAAAAGAACATTAAAATCTATTAAAACAGAATACAAATATCAACTCTTTCATTCATTGTATACACGTATGACCCCAAGACTTCAAACTTTATTCAGTAAATATTTACCAATTCGCCTACAATGGATCCAGAAGAAGTGAGCCATTCAGCAATCAATTCATATGCCTGATCGGGACGAAAGATCGTTTGGTAACGAGCATGGCCCCATTCAATCCTATCGCTTTTCCCCGACACATCCGTTTCCAGTCGAAGCTTTTTATACATTAGTTCTGCAATAAAAAAACCTCCCTGATTTGAGCCTTATTTTCGTTTTCTTTCACTAACCATCAGCATCAACTTCTGCATACTCCGGATCAATATCGTTGCACAAGAAATGGGGAACTTCACGTTCTTTATCGCTATTTGATATGGGGATGTTGTTGGGCGGTAACTTTGGACGTCCCCAGTCGAGCGGCGGGTGTATTTCCACTTCGAGAAACTCATTTTCAAAACTCTCAGAATCACCATTGGGTTGAAACGACTCTTTATCATCTAAATAAATTGCTGATTAAAAACACAAAATCAATTCGCGAATGTTGCACCACCTTTCTCACATTTGTCCGGTGAAATGAAGAATAAATAAAATCCATAAATGAAGGGCTTCTTCGGATCGCCCGAAGCATGTCTGATCAATTTCTCCTTGTGCAGTCCTTGCATAATCTACAAGTAGGGCAATTGCAGTCTTAGCGTTCATTGGAGCAATTTAATTACCTGCACAGCCCTATCAATGGTCGTCACTCCCTCCATGTGAGCCGTCAGCCAATTAACTGCGTCGGCCGTAACAAAAGTGTGAGTGGGAAGATTTTGCGACAAGTTGAAGAACGGCAATCCTTGCGATTGGTGTTTCATCGCTTCCATTATCTCTAAGGAACTTGAGGTTGATTTAAGCGGAGTCATTGCGACCGACAATCTTAAAAATACGTAAATTGAACTGACTGAGATAATGTTTGTGGTTTCGGTACCCTTCGTCTGTATCAGTGCTTTCACTTGGTTGATCTTGAGAGCCATGTGAAGCCCTCGAACGTTCCAGGACTTTAGATCCGGATCTAAAATTAAATAACGTAAAAGATTCAAACAAAAAATTCAACAACTGATTTTTGGTATACTTGGTGTTAAAAAACACCGACTAAACTTTAGTTGTGAGACCAGAATTTTTTAGATTTTTTAATGGTTGATAATATTAGTCGGTGTTACACTAAACACCCTGTATAGCCCTCAAAGCTTATTCGACTTGCTGTCAGCTTAAGACAAAATGAGGTATCCATTATGGAGTAGAGAAAATCTGTTCCGATTATGAAATTTGTTGATCTTTAGTAGCCGCACGATATATTTTGGCATTAATTATTATTTAAATTCTTGTATAAGAATATTTTTTATTTTAAATTAAGTAATCACTATTAAATTGAATAAAAAATTGTCGTATTTTTCAACAATTATAATAATCTCATCGTACAATTCAATAAATTATAAATATAGGATGTAAAGGAATAATATCCACTTTCGTACATCTTAAAATAGCATACCTTTTCAAATGGATCGCTTAATAAGTTTGCAGTAGATAATCTAATCTCAGTGTAATATAGCTAAACCCTACATACCATTTTCCAATAAATGTACATCCATTCATTCATTCCTACATAGAACTAGCATCGAATTGAAATAATTGCAATCATTTTAACAAAAGCAAGAAAGTCCATTTAATGAAATGTTAAATGGAAAATCAAGAATAGCAAAAATTTACTTTAGATGTTAAACTTTCAGATTTTTAAAGATGAAAGTGATGTGAGATTTATTAAATCAAACTAATTTTTTTTTAGAATAAAAAACCCCTATATAGACTTAGATCGACTGCCCTGTCGATACTTTTCTCAGCAGGGTCTGACTATTTCAAAAAACTTTATTACCAGTAATGTAGCACACAAATCCACTACACAAACAGGAAGGCTTTAACACTAATTAAACTTAGTATTTTGGACTAAAGGAAAATTAATCTATTAGAAGTTACATATCACATGCTGTTACAAGTCGACAGAAAAAGTATATACAAAAAATGAATAAATCATACCTATAAGACGAGGCAACAAACCGCTCATTGGAGCGAGCTATTGTCGAATTCTGGAAGGAAGTTAAGCAAGATTAAATTCACTACAGTACAAATTGGCATAACGAGTTAACCATCAGCATTCATATCAGCACAAAACATAAAATGGGAAAACCCTCCCCATCAATTGAAACCCCTTGCCATGGGCTTAACAATCACCAGTACTACATGGTATTAAATCACTACACATGCCCCATGACCAAGCTTTGAAAAAAAAACAAATTTTTGCAAACCTGGGACGAGGTCTATCAGACAATCGGTTGCTACCCAATCGTTCCCTGAACGGCGAACTTGAACTGATATTCTGAAAATTATTCCAATTGGGATTTTACTAACTTAACAACTAGTGAAAAACCAGTAGTATCATGATTCAAGATCAGCCCTATCGGACTAATTAATCTTTATTTTCGCTCATGCATTACTATTCAGCCCTTTTAGTGTCTTGAATCATAATATAATCATGGACGTACAACCTTGAAGGCCTTAGCAAAAGGAAAACCAAACAAAAGGCAGCCAGCTACAAAGTTTAGCGCATGCAAAATAATACTTAAGCTTGAAAGATACAAACGCATGCCGCGATGCCCAAAGAGAATGTCGTTATTGATGATTCACCTACATGCTAAGATATTTTTTTAGAAATCAAATTTTACGTGCTCAGTTTTTGCAAAAATACCAATGGAGTCATAAATAGAAATTCGCCGTTTTGTATTTTGTTGTAATGTTTTAACTAGCAACTATTGGCAAAAAACGACCGACGTGATAGTTTTCATGTACAAACGGACATAACAACTTTGCTTTGCTTTTCGAGCCTATTATAGCTCTCATAGCAGGGTTTAGCCACAAAGCATCACATCCGAAACAAGTGCGGATCCATCCCTGGTGCTGGGTTTATAACGACTAACGATCATTTTTATAATTTTATAGACATCAAAAGACTGAATTTCTACTACTTGACCCCCCCTGACTTGAAACCTGTAATTAATATCGGCCCGACGGCTCTAATCAGGGGCGGATCCAGCTTGAACATGACGCTGCTTTATTCGAAGTTTCTCAAGAACCATTCGAGCTACACAATTCGTTTTGGCATCGTTGGATAGAGAATTGAAAAGTCGATTCAGTCGTAACAACGTGAGTGAGGAAATTCAAGTAGTTTTGACCCAGAAAGCGAAATTTGAATAGCAGACACTTAGGTGCAAGATTTCGTCCCGTTTTTGCTCATTTCTCGGAGGGAAAATGAGCAAGAACGCGAGTTGCAAAATCAACTTGAACATGACGCTGCTTTTTCCGAAGTTTCTCAAGAACCATTCGAGCCACAGAATTCGTTTTGGCATCGTTGGATAGAGAATTGAATGGGGGGGTCTGAGATTAATACATCTCGAAATATGCACATACTTATATCGGAAACATTTAATGGCCCTGATTGTGCCGTTAAAGTTTCAGTGTTCTTCAATATCAATTGAAGTAATAAAGTTTTTCAAATTGCAGATACCTGCATTAATAAATTAATTATAAAACTAGAAAATAAGGAATGGCGATTCTTTTTCGAACAATGCGAACAAATTAGCTTTGAACTCATTTAAAAATATTGAATAGCGGATATACAGGGTGGCCATTTTCTGAATCTTTGTATGGGTAACTTCTACATTTTTAAAGA